TTATCTCTTCTCCTCCCACCTGAAGCTGTTGACCCCGTCCCGGCAGGACCCCCCGTGGAGGCAGGGCGCGCTGAGGCACTCGTCTGAGTCGACCTGGCAGCGAGGACCCGAGAACCCGGGGGCACAGGCACAGCCGAAGCCGCCCGCCTGGTCCTCGCACACGCCGCCGTTCAGGCAGGGCCCCGACAGACATTCATCCAGCTCCAGCTCACAGCGGGAGCCTGGGGAAGAACAGAGGACGGAGATCCAGGTCGGCCATTTTGATTAGCTCACCAACAGTGTTGGGTAAGTTACTTTAAAAATGTAATCCGTTACAGATACAAGTTACCTTGTTTAAAATGTAATTGTAGTGTAACTTTTTCGATTACTTTTAAAAAGTAATGTAACTAATTACTTTTGATTACTTTTTGATTACTTTAAGGTTTTAATGAGTATTGACCCATGATTCATTTTAGCATGTTAGTATTAGCTATTGGCCGCAGCTAGCAGTTCAAGGCTAACGTCTTGTTAATGATCATAAACAATCCGGATTCAACATTTTAGTATCTATACTTTTTTAAGTATCGATACTTTTGACAACCCTAGTCTGAAATGTAGGACATGTCCGGGAAAAAGAGGACGTTTGGTAAACCTACACTTGGCTAGGCTAGGCTAGGCTAGGTCATAGACATCGATAAACGTTTGTCATGCATCAACACCAAACAGTCAAATATTAGTAAATCAATACGCTTCGTCTATCAGTGAGTTGCATATCTTGCAAAGGTTTTTCTTTATATCTTTTTAAAAATGTAACTAAATTAGTAATTCTTAATATTTTCGGAAGTAACTGTAACTGAATTACATATTTTCTAATTGTAACTGTAAGGAATTACAGTAACTCTTGTTTTGTAATTAAATTACGTAACGTCGTTACATGTAATCCGTTACTCCCCAACACTGGTCACCAATAAGAAGATCCCAGGCAAGAAAATCCTAACTGCTTCATGGCAATATAGACATGTCTAATTTATCTAACTTATCTAATTTATGTCTATGTCTGCACGGGAGAACAAGAAACAAAATTTAAATTCTTTGTATGATCAACGCATGTAAAGAAATTGACAATAAAGCTTACTTGACTTGACTTGACTTGATTAATTTAAGAATAGTGAAATTAATCTTGCAAACGCTGAATTAAACTCTATACATAATATTATGTTAAAATAGTGGATGTTAAATAGGTTTGTACAATAAGTCCAAATAAGTTTAACCAAAAATATTTATTTATCACAATTATGAAGGCTGGAGGGTTAGGGTTAGGGTCAGGGTCAGGGTTAGGTTTAGGGTTAGAGTCAGGGTTAAGGTTAGGGTTAGGGTCAGGGTTAAGATTAGGGTCAGAGTTAGGGTTAGTGGTAGGGTCAAGGTTAGGTTTACGGTCAGGGTTAGGGTTAGGGTTAGGTTTAGGTTTAGGTTTAGGGTCAGGGTTATGGTTAGTTTTAGGGTCAGATTTAGGGGTTAGGTTTAGGGTTAGTTTTAGGGTTAGGGTCAGGGTTAGGATCAGGGTTAGGACATAGTTTATCTTCCGATTTCGTATAGACAGTAAAGTTTCGTTTCCACCTCAGAAAGCAGCTAGTCACATGACCTAATCAAAATGGCCGACTTGGATGTGGGCGGCGCCCACCTGTGAACCCGGCGGCGCAGCTGCAGGCGAAGCCGGCGACCTCGTCCACGCAGACGCCGTCGTTCAGACACGGAGACGAAACGCACTCATTCACCTCCGCCTGGCACAGGGAGCCTGAAACACACACACTGTTAGATACACACACACACACACACACACACACACACACATACATACACACACACACACACAGTTGGATACCCACACACAAATACATACATATACACACACATACATACATACACACACAGTTGGATACCCACACACACACACACACAGTTAGATACCCACACACACACACATACACATACACACACAGTTGGATACCCACACACACACACATACATACATACACACACAGATACCCCCCCACACACAGACACACAGTCAAATACACACTCACACACACGGTCAGATACCCTTTATCATTTTAAAGTCCAAAATAGTCTGACAAGGCACCGTTTGGTTGATGGAAAACCACATTTTTAGAGGTTATTTAAAGTTAAATCTGTATTTCATCACAACATTTCTTCTCCGAAATTTCCAAACCAGCTTTAAAAGGGAAAAGGAAACATATGTTTTGTTTTAATATGGTTTCTGTAGGCGGACAAACATGACACAAACATTCTTAACGTTTTCCAATGTGTAGAATAATCATTAAATTTCAACATTTTTGTCAACAAAGATTTGTGTCACAGCCTGCGACACACTCGTACAAAAGAATAGTCAAGTGGTGCGTCACTTTACAGGACGCACAGCAGAGAAAATAAACTAATCATAAAGGCACATTATGTATTTGTAGCCAACTTAGTCATTTCGATGCTAGGCTAATATAGCTAATATAGCTAATATAGCTAATATACCTAATATATCTAATATAGCTAATATAGCTACTATAGCTAATATAGCTAATATAGCTACTAGAGCTAATATAGCTAACATAGCTACTATAGCTAATATAGCTAATATAGCTAATATATTTAATATAGCTAATATAGATACATACAGAATGTGTTGCCTTCATTATAATGCTTTTCATTTTTTGTGGCTCCAGACGTTTTTGTTTTTTTGGTCCGATATGGCTCTTCCAACATTTTGGGTTGCCGACCCTAACCCTAACCTAACCCTAACCCTGCCCTAAGGGCACCAGGACCCCCCCCCCCCCCCCCCCCCCCCCCCCCCCACCCCCCCCCCCCCCCCCCCCCCCAGACCCCCCCCCCCCCCCCCCCCCCCCCCCCTCTTACCCAGAAAGCCCGGCTGGCACTGGCACTGGAAGCTGCCCATCCCGTCCTGGCACAGGCCGCCGTTCTGGCAGGGGGCGGAGTCACACTCGTTTATGTCCACCTCACATTTGGCTCCTGGGGGGGAAAAGCCGGGTTCAAGAGAGGCAAGCACAGACCTGGCTAATATCTACTGCCTTCTGACTGGGTCCATATCACAGAATATCACAGAATATATCAGAATATATCAGAATATATCAGAATATTAGAGAATATTAGAGAATATTAGAAAATATCAGAAAATATCATAGAGAGAATATCAGAGAATACCACAGAATATTAGAGAATATTAGAAAATATCAGAAAATATCATAGATAGAATATCAGAGAATATCAGAGAATATCAGAGAATATCAGAGAATATTAGAAAATATCAGAGAATATTAGAAAATATCAGAAAATATCATAGAGAGAATATCAGAGAATATCAGAGAATATCAGAGAATAACAGAGAATATTAGAAAATATCAGAGAATATTAGAAAATATCAGAAAATATCATAGAGAGAATATCAGAGAATATCAGAGAATATCAGAGGTACGTCCACCTTTAATCCAGAGAATGCTTCGTTTAAAAAAATATAATTAACAAAAGTGTCTACAGATGAGTCTAGATAGATAGATAGATAGATAGATAGATAGATAGATAGATAGATAGATAGATAGATAGATAGATAGATAGATAGATAGATAGATAGATAGATACCTTAGAAATATATACATAAATGACTTCAAATGCTTTTATTACATTAAAGAATAATAATAAATCTTATAATAGATTGATCGATCTATGGGAGAAACCTTAAAGATATATACATAAATAACAAAAAATGCCTTTTTTACATTAAAGAATAATAATAAATCAAATAAAAGATGATCGATCGATGGGACAAACCTCTGAGATATATACATAGATAACAGAAAATAATTAAAGAATGATAATACCTAATAACTGCAGGCCTTACCTGTGAACCCGGCTGCACAGGTGCAGACGTACCCGGCCCCCACCTCCTCACACGTCCCTTTATTCTGGCACGGGTTCAGGAAGCACTCGTGGAAAACCTGGCTGCTGGCCTGGTAGTCCTGGCTGACCTCCACCTCCGGGGCCGCCGTCACGCTCTCCTCCTTTGGGAGGAAGCTGGAGCCAAAACCTGACGGGACACACAAGGAAAACACAGGCCATTTTACTTTACAGTGTATCTCCTCTATATAGCTTATTGTCATAGTGATGAGAAATGTAATATTGTGTCTACTCTGTTAGTCGCTTTGGATAAAAGCGTCTGCCAAATGCATAAACATACAGGAACTTATTCCATTTCCACTGCTACCAGTCGGTAATCCGGTTTCCAACACGGTTCAAATCAGATCACGGACACAAAAGCAGGTCCGTTCTGTGGATATTCAAGATTAACTCATTGACTGCCAGAGTTTTTTGAGCATTTTGACTGATTTTTCAAGAGCCACAAAATAGTTTGTGCTATGACTATGTAAACACCGAACACACCAAAAGAAAGAGTAGACTCTCTTCTTTCATCAGGAAAAAGAAATTTGTTTCTACCTTATTCCGTTTTTCCTGGACTTGTGTCTCACCGGCGACATGTTCTCTCATAGCGAACCGTTACCTTTTTCTTATTTGCCTACAGTCTATGCTCATCTCCCATCAAAAGTGGCACTGCCCCCTAGAGGGTCAATTTGTTACTACATACTCTGTCTTTAGCAGATCGTCCCCCAGCCACTCGCGTTGAAAAACATAAAAGACGTCTATAGACGTCTTTGGCAGCCAATGAGTTAAATATCAACAAATAAAGCAGCAAGGGGCTAACTAACACTTTAAAGACCTGCAAAGCATCTTAAAAAAGAGGAAAAACGGAGATTCAGGGCTCTGAATTGAGTGTAAAACCCGGAATTCCCAGCTTTCTAACAGCACCTAAATGCACCACATGTGGATAAAACTGATTTAGATGCAGAGACGAGTCCGAAAATAAAAAAAAATCTGTGAAGATTGTTCACGACTCTGCAAACGAAGCTTATTATTCACCATTTTCTTAGTAAAATCAGTAAATTACATGTCATTGTGATAGATCAGCTCTAGAAAACAATCCAAAGTAACTCGGAATAAGGTCTGACGAAGTACCGAAAGAGGAAACAAATCTCTGCTTTTCAGAAGAAAAGCAGGAACACAAACAAACCCATTTAGAAAATGCCGAATCGGGTTAAATATGCTGGTCTCTAACAGATAGAATGCTGTTATTTATTCTATTTTATTTTAATGTTCTGTTGTATATCTAAGGATTACTGTATCTCCCACACTTTACTTCAAAACCACCTGGTGGACATTTTATTTATTTTATTTTTTTAGCTTACAGTAAGTCTATCTTCCCCAGTTTGTTCAAAGTTGTTAGATGTAACTTACTTCACTTTGTATATTACACACAAAAAATAATTGTAACAACCACTGTATTGTAATACACAAAATGAAAAAATAAAAAATAAAAAAATAAAAAAATATATTTTTTTAAATAGAATAAATAAAATAAAATAGAATTAATCAAATAAAATAAAATGAATAAAATGAATAAAATGAATAAAATGAATAAAATGAATAAAATGAAATAATTAAAATAAATAAAATAGAATAAATAAAATAAATAAAATAAATAAAATAAATAAAATAAATAAAATCAATTAAAAAAGTAAAAAAATAAAAAGAAAATGAATTTTTAACAAAAGAAAAGAAAAGGCAGAGTCAGAGCTCTGGGCTCCGATCGGCTCAGATGGAGGCCGGTGGGCGGGGCCGGTGGGCGGGGCCTGTGGGTCTGTGGGCGGGGCCTGTGGGCGGGGCACCTACTGGAGCAGTGCTGGATGGAGGTGGCCCCGGTGACGGTGGTGGTCCCGTAGAAGGGGCAGGACAGGCAGTAGGAGCGGCCGTGCTCGGGCTGGTAATAGTCCCGGGGGCACGGGTAGCAGGGCACCAGCCCGGTGCGGGAAAAGTGGCCCGCCGCGCACGGGACTGCAGAGGGGAGCCCAAAACATGCAGTTAGGGGCCAAAAACTAGTTATGGAGGACAGACACAGTCATAATCTGATATAAATACACAAATACACACTGTAAAACAAGAGGAATACATGGTACTAAAGCTAAAAAAATAAACATTTTGTGAATAAATGCATTTTCTTTCCTTGATATCTAACTGATTAAATCTAAACTTATGTTTATTCTATTATTCAATTATTAAAAATTGCAAAGTGTATATATATTTGTTATTTGGCATTTAATCAATTTTTGCCTTATTATTCCCGTATTTATCATTGTTATCGTTTTTCTTTAAATATAGTCATTTTTAAGAAAATGAATATAAGGGGGAATAATACATAATACAGCAATTAATCAAATAAATTACTTTGGAATCAAAACAACATAAAATATGAACTTAGTTACAAAATAAAGAGTTCAATTATAAAATTAAGCTTCAATTACTTTAATATAGCATCACACAAGTGTTGTTATTCATTAATTTGAAAATATGTATTTTTTATTTATTTTTATGCTAATTCATTACTCCTGTATTATTTTCAACTAAAGATAGAATGCAGAAATAAATACTTTGATAAAAAATATAGATTAATACAGAAATAAATGCACTAAATAAATAAATTGAATTGAAATAAGCTTAAATTGATTATTTTAAAGCCCAAAATAGTCTGAAAAGGCACCGTTTGGTTGGTGGAAAACCACATTTTCAGAAGTCACTTAAATTTATATTTATTCTTCTCACACTGTCAACACTTATTTTAGATCTGTATATATACATATCTTACATAGTTGTAGATATCTATATTTTGTGTGAAATATTTTGAGATAAAATCTCGAAAAAGAGATTTTATCTCAAGGGACCTCTTGGTAAAATAAAGGTTGAAAAAATAAAATAAAATAAAATAAAATATATATATATATAGGCATGTATATTTGTGTATGCTGTTGTATATCTGGAGTTTTGTGTGGAATGCTGTATGCTGTATTCATATATATATATACATATATATATATATATATATATATATAGAGAGAGATATGTATATATATATGTGTATATATATATATATATGCCGCTGTATATCTGGAGTTGGTAAAGAAAATAATTTCCCTCTGTGATTATTCAAGTATTTCTGATTCTGACTGTTTTATCTCCCATAACCATTTCTTAACTCTGTAACAGGGTAAACTGGTCGGGACGGGGTCAGACCTCCGCACTCGGCCGGGTCCACGGCGCCCCTGGTGACGGTGGAGGTCTCCCCCGGGCAGAGCAGGCACTCTCGGGCCCCGAAGGCCGGCTGGAAATGGCCCAGCGGGCAGGACTCGCAGATCTCCAGCCCGTTCAGCGAGTGGCTGCCCGGTTTGCACTGCCCTGCACACACACAAACAGCCATCACTACACCGGGAGGAACCCGGCTCCAGGGCCCGAGCCCCAACAAGGCCCCTGACTCCAGGCCTGTGGGGGCCCCTGACTCCAGGCCTGTGGGGGCCCCTGACTCCAGGCCTGTGGGGGCCCCTGACTCCAGGCCTGTGGGGGCCCCTGACTCCAGGCCTGTGGGGGGTCGGGCCTGTAGGGAAGTGTTTCCCAATCCTGGTCCTCAAGGCACCCTGACCTGAATGTTTTCCAAGTTTCCCTGCTCCAGCACACCTGATTCTAATGAATGGGACTTTAGCAGCTTTCTGCATAGCTGAAAAGTCATTCCATTCATTAGAATCAGGTGCTAAAGTCCTATTCATTAGAATTAGAAATTTGGAAAACATGCAGGATACGGTGCCTTGAGGACCAGTTTTGGGAAACGCTGCTGTAGGGGGTCAGGCCTGTGGGGGGTCGGGCCTCCAGGCCTGTGGGGGGTCAGTAAATGAATTAGAATGATTTAACTATGAGCTGCGCAGCATCTTATACGCAGTCAGATACATTTTATGTATATTAGAAATCTCGTTCTAATTCATTTACTTACCCCACTCTTCTTCAGTGGTAAGTTAACCCAACTCCGTGCTTCCTTTAATGGGAGCTGTCAATCAAGGTACAAGGACGTCCCTGTGGTTGTAATCACGGCGAAAGTGACCAATCATAAGAGGGTCAGTGCCCTCCTTGGTTTCCGCCCCCAAATTGTCAAAAGTCCTGTAGACTCGAGCGAGCAAAATTCCACTGCGCGCGCAGAGTTATCCTTTAAGAACAAACCAGGCGCTCGCTCGCAGAAACTTGTACAACTCTCCGTTGTTGAATTTGTTGAACGTTAATTTTTGCACGCGAATACTGTATCTGCGCGCGGGAATGTACATTTTTGCGCGTGTGAACATTTGACATATAAAATTACGCCATATTTGGGGGTCTGGGTGACCCACCTTTGCACTCGGCGGGGCTGCGGGAGTGCAGGTAGGCCGTGGACGTCCCCTCAGGGCAGGAGCGGCACTCCAGCTGGCCCTCCTGGTCCTGGAAGGAGCCCAGCCAGCAGCTCTCACACTCGCCGTGCTCCAGGGAGAAGTAGGTCCCCACCGGGCACTGGACTGCATTCACACAGCATTAACACACATTATTCACCATAATCACACACGTTTTTATCTATTATTCATCATAATCAAACATGTTTTATCTAGTAGACATGATAATCACAATTATTTTATCTATTATATATCATAATTACACATGTTTTATCTATTATTCATCATCATCACACATTTTTTATCTATTAGACATCATAATTACACATTTTGTATCTATTATACATCATAATTACACATATTCTATCTATTATACATAATAATTACACATGTTTTATCTATTAGACATCATAATTACACATGTTTTTATCTATTAGACACAATAATTACACATATTCTATCTATTATATATCATAATCACACATGTTTTATCTATTATTCATCATAATCACACATATTTTGTCTATTATACAGTGGGGGAAATAAGTATTTGACCCCATTGATGATTTTTCAGGTTTGCCCACTTACAAAGAATGCAACGATCTATAACTTTAATCATATGTACATTGTAACAGTGAAAGACAGAATCCCAAAGAAAATTCCAGAAAATCACATCATATGAATTTATAAAAATTGATAACCATCTGATGAGGAAAAATAAGCATTCTTTGTAAGTGGGCAAACCTGCAAAATCAGCAAGGGGTCAAATACTTATTTCCCCCACTGTACATCATAATCACACATGTTTTATGTATTAGACATGATAATCACACATATTTTATCTATTAGACATAATGCTATAGTATGACATGCTAAACAACAAGCTAAAACTGACTAATTAACAGGCTAAAACAGGCTAAACAACAGGCTAAAACAGGCTAAACAACAGGGTAAAACATGCTAAACAACAAGCTAAAACTGAATAATTAACAGACTAAAACAGACTAAAAACAGCCTAAAACAGGCTAAACAACAGGGTAAAACATGCTAAACAGCAAGCTAAAACTGACAAAATCTCAGGCTTTCCAGTGAAAGCCCGGTTCGCCGGGACG